TTAACAAAAGCTCTTGCAAACTGCCGAATTCAAATCTGCAATTAAAATTAATTTCAATATCAAAAATAAATTAAAATCAGCCTAAAGGCAATTTCCATTAAATTTGTACCTGAAAGAAAACTTTAAAGTGAATTTTATAAAGTTTCTTTTTGCCTTAATTGTCAAATATCCCTAACAGAATACATGAAGAAGATTGCAAACCCCCGAAATTCAGTTATACTCAGATTATATTTATAATTCAGTTATACTTAGATTATATACAGATTACAATTCAGTTATACCCAGATTATAATTCAGTTTTACTCAGATTATAATTCAGTTCTACTCAGATTATAATTCAGTTATACTCAGGCTCAGTTATACTCAAATAATTAAAAGTTAAAATTAAAGTATTTTAATTTTTTAGCATAAAAAACTGGCAAAAAACATTAAAAATAAAAAATATTAAAATAAAATATTAAAAAAAATTAAAAATATATAGTAATGTTCCATCATATTTAAATAGAGAACAAAAAAAAACTTTTTTTTCATCAAAAAAACATTTATATTAAAATTACTTTTGCTCATATGTTGTCATGATTCTCTGATTGAAAAGACAAAATCATTTTAATTGCTTTAAAGTTTTTTTTATTTCTATTGTTAAATTTATGTTAATTGGTGAATGATTCGTTTGTAAGAATGCAACTTCTCTAAAACTGTAATTTTATCTCAGAAACAAGATTTCTGTGGCTATTATTAGAAAACAAATTCAATATTTTTTTTCTGCTTTGTTTAAAAAAAGATGCTCTCAAAACGTTTGTTTATCATTTATTTATTATTGTAAAACTTCATCGATTCTTATTATTGCCTCTAAATTACTTATGAATCCATTTCATTTCAAAGTGGAAAACGAGACAATTTATTTCACTTCTATAAAAAAATCTAACTTTTTCTTGATCATTATTGAAATAATTTCAGAGCAAAATAAAATACTCACTTTAGCATATAATTTAATAATTTCAATTTAACATTTAATAGGAACAAAATCATACTTTGGAAAAAATAAAAGAAATTAAAAGTATTTTCATAAGCAAAATTGATTCATACAATTTCTTTTTTCATGCGTATGCATGAATGAATTTCAATTAATTTAAAATAGCTATGGAATATTGTTGTAATTCAGTTAAGATTAATTCAGTAAATGCAGAATATTTGTTGGATTTCGCTGATGCTTTTCAAGTATTTCAAAAATCAAATTTATTATAAGAGCAATCAAAAAGAAGGAAGGAAAGGAAAAAATTAAAAATAAAACAAAATAAGAAAAATGTGCTGAGTTTTTTAGAATTAATGGATCTAAATTATTCCATATTTCGTATAAAATTTTATCAATTGAAATTTCTTCTTTATTTTTTATATCCTAAAAAAGAGTAATAGAAAAAAATTCGGATAAGTAAGCAAAAGCTTTCCATTATTGATAACATTTTGATATACCGAAATGCAGAGATTAAAATTGGGAAATTATTACCGATTGTAAATTATTCTAATCTAAAATTGAACAGACAGATCTTTCAGTAACTTACTTGTAATAACAGATAATACATTTTTTTTTCCTTTTTTTAAATTATAGCAAATATTTTTTCTCTTGCCTTTTTCTTTTAAATTTTAACAAACTTTTTCAACTACTTTTTCTTCCTCATTTTCAATTCGATTTTAACTGAAATTTCGATTATTTTTATAATGCACTGCAGATAGGTAAATAATTGATTGCTAACATTAAACATTTTAAAGACTGGTTCATTGTATAGTTATATTATTTGCTGAATTTCTTTTCCATTTATTTAAGTACTTCATGCTTTTTCCTTTTGGTATTTTCCTTTATTTCAAACAGTGTATAAAGCAAGGCAAGAGAGAGAGAGAGAGAGAGAGAGAGAGGGAGGAAAAAGATGAAAATAGTAAAAGACAATCTTTTTTTAAATTTATGAAACGTTTGAAAATTTTGCACAATTTTATTTATATTTTTTTTTCTTGGTAAGTTTTTTTATTAATATAATTTTACTTGGGGAAGAAAAAAGAAGGAAAAGAATAAGGAATAAAAGACTGTTTTGGCAAATATTGTTTATTTGCGATAATTAATTTATCGTTGATTAATTGGTGCAATAATTTAATATTTTCATGACTTCCTTTTTTTTTTTTTTTTTTTCTTTAGAAGAATTAAAATAGGCAATTGGGAAAATGAATATGAACTATATTATTAGATTAATGATATTATTATTGCTTGCTACGATGTGCCACCTGTTTACATTGGAAATCAAATGATCAATTGAATAATTTTCACCCCTTTACAAAATTTATCACGAAATGGAACAGAGGATTACTGTAATTGTATGAGGAATAAACAAATATTTCAAGATGTCATTCAAAATGTCAAGATATGGTTGATTATTTCATTTACCGATTATTTTTATTATTAATTATCTCATCTGTTAATTATATGCTAGTCTTATCATTTCATTTGCTGAATTTCACTTCTTGATTTAAAATTAAATTGAAAAAGAAATGAGAATAATTTTAATTAAGTATGGTAAATGTGCAGTTATTATATATGTACAAAAAGTATTAAAATTTTACAGATTGAAAAGGAAACAATTGCTATCGTCAAACATACAATTATTATGTGTATTCATTTCGGCTAACTGATTAACAACATTCTTAACAATTTTAAAAGATTTTTAACTTAAAGTGACATATCTTAATAAGTACCAGAAAAATTACTTATGAGGCCATCCTATCATCTGTGGTCATCAATATCAATTATAATTTCTTAATTATTTTCCTTTCATCTATGCCATCATTATTATTTAAAATTTAAATAAATTTACTAAAACGAAAGGTCATCTTAACTTCCTTAATATTCTAATAGAGAGATAAATTACGTATTTAATTTATTTTTGTCATATTTATTGCAAATGTCAGTTCCGTCGGTTAAATATTAAAATTTGAAGTCGAAAATTTTAAATATATGTAATATTTTATTAACCCATTAACCGATTGACTGGTTGCTATGTAAAATATATTAATGAATATTTTTTTGTTATTAGATCCTTTTTTGAATCAGATTTATCTATCACAAAATTTGATCAGATATTTACATTTGATCGAAAAATTTAATGTCAAATTGTTAAGTGTATTATGTGTCACTTTCACTTTGTGGTCATTACGAGACAGAAATGTTATACAAGTAATACACATATACACCCAGTATTAGTTATAAAAGATTGTGTGTAATGTATATTTGGCTTGAATGTAATACTGGCACTTGAAATGACTCCTAAACAGATACTTGAACTTGGCCTAAATTGTCGTCAAATTTGGGATTCAGTCTGAACATAACTTGTGGCTTAGAGTCGAATTGAACTTTCGTATATTCAAGAACTTACCTTATTTGTTATTGTAGTTGATGTAGACTAATGCGTTTTTTTGTTATTTTTCCTTTTTTTTGAATCAGATTTATCTATCACAAAAATTAGATCCATTTTAACGAATGATAGATCTATTGTAACGATTTTATTTGCTAACACCACAATATATAGGTATTAATTTAAGCAACAATACTGATAATTTCGTGAAGTATTTAATAAATTAATGGGAAGTAAACTGAATGGTTAGTGAGAGAGTGCAGCCGAATTGTAGCTTACTGATAAAGAAAACTGGTAAAAACTGATCAAGACAAATCTTTATACAGTGGTCATTGACTTGCAACAACAGCATGAATATTAAGTAAGGAACTATTAGATAACTTTTCTTCATATTGAAAGAGTTCTAATATTGTAGCTTCCAAAGGTTGGCTATCAGTTTAGAAGAATATTTTGACATTGCAAATACATTTGATTTGGAACATCGGAGTAACTTTTAACATATTAAATAATGCACTTTTATTATCAGATGAAAATGTCTAGAAAGTAGATAAGCTCAACTACAACAGAAAGATGAGTGTTGGAATGATTGCTTACATAAGTATAATTTGAAACAGTTTTACATTTCTAATGTTCAATTAAAACGAATTTTAGCCTTATATTATGAATTAATATAATTTTATTTAATATATTTTGTAAGTTATTAAAAAGTTATTTTGTAAGTTAAGTTATTTAAAAGTTCGCGAGATTGTTTTGAGATATAAATTGGTACTTGAAATGGAAGTTCGCGACTAAATGAAGTTTAATTGGTACTTGAAAATGTAGATGGGAAGTTATAAATTTCTGTTACTGAATTAATGCCATTTCTACTTTTTTTACACTACATTAACAAGTAACAGCGACAACAATAAAATAATAAATAGATAAATAATTGTCACGGATTTTAATATCGATATATCGAGAAGCACTAAATAAATGTTAATAATGCTTAATATAGCAATCCATTGATGTCTTTTACAATTTATCGTAATGGTTTAACTGACCTTTGATTTTATATTAATTCACATACTATGAGCATCTATCTTGTAATGTCTATTGTAATTATAGTAGCTACACATCATATTGTCTAGACAACCCATTGTACTTACCTTTGTGATATCCATTGTAAAACCTATTGTTAAAGTAACTCATTACTATGTCTAGACAATTTATCCTTTGTACGAAAATGTCTAATTATAAACCACTCCCACATCTTAACAAATATAATGTAAGATATGATTGCTACAATGTATAAGGGTTGCCCTTGTTAAAAAATTTTAGTGTGTGTAATTTGTTGCCAAGAACCAGACGAGTTCAATTTCAATTGTCCTCTTTCAATGTATTGTCCTATTACTTGTGCTAATAAAGGAAATGTTATATTTCTGTTATTTTACGTATTTACATCTACATCCAGCAAATCTTTTGCGATCAAAAACCTCTCTCAATTAGTTATAAATTGCAAGTAGATTCTCAATAATAGCTCGCACGATAAGGATTTTTCCACAATTACTCACTTTTGATAGTGCAATTAAAAAGTCCTAAATATTGTATTATTATTACTTTTAGACAATGGGAATAGTGATAATGATTGTGTTAAATACTGAAAGTCTACCGTTTCAAATAGTTTCAAATAGTGCAGGTATTTTACATTGCTGTATTTGCTTGGTTCGTATATTATCTTTTAAAACCTCGTTTATACTCCTTTTTACCATATTGAAAGTTTTAGAGATATAATAACTAATATTTTCTCCTTTTTCATTTTTTTCTTACCGTATTTTATATATGGGCTGACATTTTTCATGATGGTAAACATTCTTAAAATCAAATGAGTTATTATTCTTAAAGTAAACATTCTTAAAGTGAAATGAGTTATTAAATTTAAAAGGAAGAAACGGTTTAAGTAGCCTCTCTATCTGCGGTGGATACAACGTCAAAAATCGGAAATGCAGGAACACATAAGGTGATTTTTAAAAAATTTGAGATGAAACTGAAGTTTCAAAACCATCATTTTTGAAAACAAATAGTAATAAAAAACAGTTGAATAAACTTTTGAAAGGCTGGTGTTGCAATCAGGCCGCTCATTATTTTGAATGATAAATCTATTATCTCGTCAGATGAATTGTTCTGTTGTGTTATCTCACCATTGTGATCACGAAGGTTCATAATATTATATTACCCGCTTATTCTACAGGTCGCTTTATATCCTTTCAACTTTTCTCTTTGTATGTAAATTTCCCTAAACATTTACAGTGAAATCTTTGTCGAACTTAACTGTTTAACATAAAATAACATAAAGTATGCGAATAAAAGTGCCGTCTGCTTTCGAAGTAATGCAGTGTCAGTTCAAATGGATTGGGTGCTGGCTGTTTTCATTTATCGAACTTTATCGATTGCTTCCATGAGCGATCAGTTACTTTTTGACATTTACCCAAGACTAGATAAAAGCAAAATTGGCATTATTTTAACCAAGTATATTTTTTATTGAAATCTGCAAATATGTACAAATACGTACAAAGTTCTTGATAAATATTTCATGAGCCTTAATTTGTATGATAGATTTATTGCAGTAAAAGAATTTAACTTCAAGCTACAAAATGGATGGCACTATCAAAGGCAGATGCTGGATTAGAATCGATCCATATCATCGAACAGCCATGCTAGATGAGCATGGAGTATGTAGAAAAATTTGTAAGAAATCAAGTAAAGAACTGAAAATACTTGAATCTATATTCTGTAAAAGAAAGCAGTGACACAGATTAAATACGATTTCTCGGTGAGTTTTCCATTGCATCCAAATTTCTTCCTTCATTTAGGTGAGAACTGCACCTGGAGCCTTTCTTTGTATCCGTTATTCTTTGATGGATGTAAACATTCTCAGAATTTTCCATTGTAACAAGATATTTCCCATAACTCTGTTATTCTTTATTCCTTCTAGTATTTTCATTTATTATTTAGAAAGATATCACAGTGCATGATATTTTCTTTCATTTTCTTCTCACAGCATTTTTGAGATTAATTTCTTCATTTCAAAAGTCGAAATATAAGTGTTGCTTCAGACTAGAAATTGTTCGCAAACATTCAGACAACATCAGCTGTGCCTTATTGAAAACATTAGCTACGATAATTCATCAGACGCTTTTTCCGTGCGACTTAAACTTTATCGATGTCGAAAAATGCAAACTATGTAAAAAGGAAAATGCAATTGTGTTAACTTGCCAATTTAACTTACAACTGGAGTGAAGAACATAACAAGACTACATCACATATATAGTTGTATTAGCACATATTAAGAAACAGTAGGAATAGAATAAAATCATTATTTACTTATTCATCAAGCGAAAAAGCGCAACGCACCAGTTCAGGCTAAGGAAATGATAAAAATGAGGAGCAGTACGTAGCATGAACATAAAGGTCAACATTCGACACTAAAAAGTACTCATGAAGATTTTTTGATAAAAATTGATTTATAAAAATTTAATTAATTTGCTGGTCAAATATCGATTGAAACATAATTATTAAAGTTTATTATATTATTTATGTTGCCAATTGACCACACCATAAATGACCAGCACCCATGCAACTCTTATAAATTAATCAATTAAGCTCAAAATATCTAATTTTCTTATGAATTGATTTTTTTAAATTTTTAACATTTAATTAAATTAAATTTTGACAAATCCGGGATTTATTTCATAGTTTAATATACAAAAGCTTTTAAAAATTATGCATTTTTCTTAAATTTTGGCACTTAAATTTGAAACAAAAATCAATTTCAATTGTTAGAATGAACTAGAACAGTGACAAATAAAGAATTTAATTATTTTTGCTACTGAAATATCGTTCAGAATTTAATTAATAAAGTTTATTTAATTATTTGTACTGATCAAATGACCACGACATATGTGTCCAGTACCTATGCAATGCACACAATTTAATCAATTAAGTTCAAAATATCTCTTTTTTTTAATGAATTGATATTTCTCAATATTATAACATTTAATTAAATTAAATTTTGACAATTCCGGCATTTATTTCATAGTTTAATGTACAAAAACTTTCAAAAATTATACAATTTTCATAAATTTTATATTTAAATTTAGGAAAAAAAATTAATTACAATTGTAAGAATGAAATAAAACCGTGACAAACAAAGAATTTCATTAATTTTGCTAATAAAATATTGATTAAAAATTATTTATTAATGTCTTTTTAAACATTCTATGCTGACCAATTGACCACACCGTGATTGACCAGTACCTATGCAACGCTTATAAATTTATCAATCGAGTTCAATTTATCTAATTTTTTTAATGATTTGATATTTCTTAACATTTAATTAAATTAAATTTTGACAATTCCGGCATTTATTTCATAGTTTAATGTACAAAAACTTTCAAAAATTATACAATTTTCATAAATTATGATATTTAGATTTGCAAAAAAAAATTAATTATAATTGTAAGAATGAAATAAAACCATGACAAATAAAGAATTTAATTAATTTTGCTAAATATCGATTGAAACTTATTTATTAAAGTTTATATTATTTATGGTGCCAATTGACCACACCATAAATGACCAGTACCCATGCAATGCACACAAATTGATCAATTAAGTTCAAAATATCCATTTTTTTTTTTAAATGAATTGATATTTTCAATATTTTAACGTTTATTTAAAACTAGTTTTTGATATTAGTACAATTTATTTTGTAGATTAATATGCAAAATTCTGATAAATTGGTGAATTTAATAAAATTTAAATTTTAAATTTGAGATAAAAATTAATTATTATTTTGAGAATGAATTATTGTCGTCAAATAAATAGTTTTGCTTATCAAATATTGATTAAAACTTAGTTATTAAAGTTTATTTTAATATTTATGCTGGTCAAATGACCACAATGTATGCGACCAGTACCTATGCAATGCACACAAATTAATCAATTAAGTTCAAAATATCTAACTTTTTTTAATGAATGTATGTTTTTTAACAGTTTTAACATTTAATTAAAGTAAAATTTGATATTACTAGAAATTATTTCGTAGTCTAATATACAAAAAAGGTTTTGATTCACTGCAAATCATAAAATTTTCATAAAATTCGATCTTAAAATTTCAAACAAAAACTAATTTTAGCTGCAGAAATGAATTAAATCTACGATAAATTAAAAATCTTATTAATATCACTTCTCGAATATTAAAAAAGACTTAGTTATTAAAGTTTATTTTCTTATTTATGTTGTCGATTGACCACACCGTAGGTGACCGGTACGTATGCAACGCATAAAATTAATCAATTGAGTTCAAATTAACTAATTTTTTTTAATGAATTGATATTTTTTAATAGTTTTAACATTTAATTAAAATCAAAATTGATAAAACTAGAAATTATTTCCCCTTTTAATATACAAAAGCTCTTGCAAATTATAAAATTTTCACCAAAATCAATTTTTATTTGAAATAATGCTTAAGCCTAAGTCTAAATATACCCTAAGCCTAAGCCTAAGCATTGTTTTATTATTTAAGATGTCAAATGACCACAATGTATGTGACCAGTTCCCGCACTATGCGTATATAATAATCAATTTTTTTTTTATTAAATGATATTTTTTAATAGTTTTAACATCCTTTGAAATTAAATTTTGATAATAGTAGAACTTCTTACCTAGTTTTATATGCAAATACCCGTATAAATTATGGGATTTTTGTAAATGTATTATTTAAATTTGAAATAAAAATTAATTTTAATTGTAAGAATGAATTAGAACAGTGGCAAATTAAAATTTAATTAATTTTGCTTTTAAATATCATTCAGAACTTAATTTCTAAACTTGATTTTATTATTTTTGCTGGTCAAATGACCACACCGTAAGTGACAAGTACTATGGAACGCTTATAAATTAATCAATTAAGTTCAAAATATCCATTTTTTTTATAGAATTGATAGTTTTCAATAATTTAACATTTAATTAAAATTAGTTTTTGATATTGCTGGAATTTATTTTGTAGATTAACATGCAAAATTCTAGTTAATTAATGAATCTTCATAAAATTTAAATTTTAAATTTGAAATGAAAATTAATTATAATTGTGAGAGTGAATTAGAACAGTGGCAAAATAAAAATTTAATTAATTTTGCTAACAAAATATTGGTTAAAACTTAATTTCTAAAGTTTATTTTATTATTTTTGCTGGTCAAATGACCACGGTGTGTGTGACCAGTACTTATGTAACGCTTATAAATTAATAAATTAAGTTCAAGTTATATAATTTTTTTAATGATTCGATTCTTTTCAATATTTTGAGTTCTGAATAATATTTTAGAAGCGAAATTAATTAAATTTTTAATTTGCCACTGTTCTAATTCATTCTTACAATTGAAATTAATTTTTATTTCAAATTTAAATATCAAATTTTATGAAAATTCAGGTTTTGTATATTAAACTACAAAATAAATTCTAGCAATATCAAAAATCATTTTAAATAAATGTTAAATTATTGAAAAATATCAATTCATTAAAAAAAAATGGTTATTTTGAACTTAATTGATTAACTTGTATGCATTGCACAGGTACCGGTCGCATACATTGTGGTCATTTGACCAGCAAAAATAATAAAATCAAGTTTAGAAATTGAGTTCTGAATGGTATTTTAGAAGCAAAATTAATTAAATTTTTAATTTGCCACTGTTCTAATTCATTCTTACAATTGAAATTAATTTTTATTTCAAATTTAAATAATACATTTACAAAATCCCATAATTTATACGGGTATTTGCATACAAAACTAGGTGAGAAGTTCTACTATTATCAAAATTTAATTTCAAAAGATGTTAAAACTATTAAAAAATATCATTTAATAAAAAAAAATTGATTATTATATACGCATAGTGCGGGAACTGGTCACATACATTGTGGTCATTTGACATCTTAAATAATAAAATAATGCTTAGGCTTAGGCTTAGGGTATATTTAGACTTAGGCTTAAGCATTATTTCAAATCTAAAAATTGATTTTGGTGAAAATTTTATAATTTGTAAGAGCTTTTGCATATTAAAGGGAGAAAAAATCCCTAGTTTTATCAACTTTGATTTTAATTAAATGTTAAAACTATTAAAAAATATCAATTGCTTAAAAAAAAGTTATTTTGAACTCAGTTGATTAATTTTATGCGTTGCATACGTACCTATGTCACTTACAAGTGTGGTCAATTGACAACATAAATAAGAAAATAAACTTTAATAACTAAGTTTTTTAATATTAGAGATGTGAAATTAATTAAATTCAAATAAAAATTAAAATTTTGTAATCAAGTTTTGCGCAAAAATTCATCAGCAAAATTAATGAAACTTCCAATAAAAACTTTCTATCAGAATGTTTTCATGTTGACTGAACGCGAGTACATACTAATCAAGCACACAGATCCAAGTACTAGATTCTAGATTATTTTTTTCTTGGTAAAACGAAGGATTAATGCTGTGGTGGCGTAGTCAACACATTATGTGGACGTGCAGAGAGTGTCATACTGTTATATTAAAAGTAGTCGAGGAGGACCCAAAAGTATGGCTGTTTAATCAGACGGTAAAAAATGTTTAAGACTAAGCTGTCATTGCTATTAATTTACTCTCACGCGCAGTATTTGCAGACGGAGTAAGTGACAATGACAAGACGAATTTGTTAACAGATTTAGTTGTGCTGCCAGCATTAGTCACGCCTCTAAACCCTGACTGTGCGGCTGCTGATTTTAGCAGCAGCTGCAGCTATTGCACGAATAGCAATTACCGTCGGTGAAAAAAAAAAATGGACTGACATTCTTTTCCTCTGACTTACTTACTGCTCTTGTTATCGTTGCAACTGTTGGGAGGAGGACTTGTTGTGAGCATAGTTTTGTTAGACATCCAGTTGCGCTCAATCATCATGGATGGGGAGGGAGAGGGATGTAAGGACTTTGCACTCTTAGATGCAGGATATGCGGATTGTACTAATATGAATTATCAAAAAGAAAGTGAGTATTCTTCTTGTTTGCAAAATAAGTTTTGGAGAGTTTCACTGACTTAATTATCTTAAAATACCTTGTTCTCAGTGAACCATTTCTATATAAATTTCTTCTTCCCTTTAGAACCATTCGTAGTTCTTTGAATATAATCGAGGATGTTCATGATTGATTCTGGAATACTACAATGAATTGATTAGCGATAAATTTAATTCTTTTATTTCCCCGAGAAGTCCTAGTTTCTGCTATTACCTGAGCTCTGTCCGCTGTTAATCTTATTTTTCTTTTTACATTCTCGATTTCCTCTCGCCTAACTGATAGATAGTATCACTAATGAGACTTTATCGGATGGACGCATCATCTGAAATTTGATATTTGTTGCTTTTTGACATACATTCATAGTATTCTTGTTATTGTAGGAAGGGATTTCAACATAACCTGAAACGACGTTTGTTGTTTGAAAGGTTGGGACAAATTTTAAAAATTGGGTTGACACAATGGAGTTAATTAATATTCGCATAAATGGAAACTGGTGAATAGTTTGAATATCTCTGAATGATGAAATCTTTAATCTGTACAATGTTCAATAATGCTTTCTGCTTTGTTTCATAACGTACTGACACTGAATTATTTGCATATTGTTAAAATTTTGTAAAATTCTTGTGACGTCAGTTGATTAACAGTTGAAATTAATACAAAATTTAATTAATACATCAATGTCAGTTGCTTATATGCTATTATGCGGCATTTATCTATCTAGAGCCCCATTCATTTATGCATCTGTCTGTTTGTTTATCATTTGTGAAGTCCCGAAAATAACTTCTCGTAAAAGATTTAAAATTAATCTAAGTATAAAGAAGGAAACGATAATGTGAGATAATGATGCGGCGGCACATCTCTCTCTACCTGCCATTACCTGCATTTTTCTCTACAAAGATGGGTGGTCTTTGTCTTCCAATATTATACATCTTATTGACATATAACAGACGGTCTCCTTGACGTCATATATGACTAAATGTGCAGAAGAGAAAGAGAAGAGGACTAGAAGACGAAGTGTCTACCAACAGTTCAACTGTGCAAGGGCTGTTCCGTCACAGATATGCTTGTCCTTTCCATTTTGTAATTCATTGCTTTTGGTTTCCCTTTCAGTTCAAACATTTTACGTCCACCCACTCACTCACTCACTATTCAGTCATATATTATTGATGTGTCAGGCAAACTTTCACCCCTCCTTTCCCTCTCTCTCTCTTCGTTATCGTTCTCTCTGTGCTTTTCTTTGTCTCTCAGTTATTTGTACATTCCTTCGGTACCGTTTGTCTTACTTATTGATGGCTAACGTACGTGGAATGAGAATATTCCCGTCCCGTCCCGTCCACATTCTCGTCTTGTCTTCCTTACTTTCATCATTGTAACACAAAGGGTTATTCTCTAACATTCTGTTAGGCGAGAATTCAAATTATTTTATGAAACAAATTGCAAGCACTGTTTGATTAATCACTGAGGTATTTTCATGCAGGTAAGTTAAATTCTGGCCAATGCAGGTAGAGGTGCTTGGCCAGATGGAATAAAATTGCAGCGTCATTATGTCCTCAAGATATGATGGGTAGGGAATAAAAGTCAAATGTTGACATTGCAATGACTCGATGGAAGCAATGGTGGGGCTGAAGTATAGGCCTGGATTAGTTAGATCGTGATAACAGCTCTTTTTTTCCGTAGAAGAAAAAATTGCTCATAGGAATAACAATCTTTATTCGACAAATTTCCATCTTATAGATTTAATACAAATTGTTTCGAATGTTATAAAATCACTTCGACTAGTTAGTAAGATTGTCATAAATTTTATAAATGAGGCATTGGTTGCAGAAAGGATATTTATCATTTGTTTTACATTTCCACCAAATGTTACTTACTTTAGCTTCCTAATCATTTTCAGGTTTTATTGCAGTGCAAAAACTGTAGAAGGATTTTTTGCATATAAATTCCTGGAAACCAAAGTAATCTCTTCTTTGTGATTATTTTCGTCGGTCCCACTTCATACTATTATTCTTAATACTTTTGCTGTTTAGTGTCTAGGACTTCTTTGATTGCAATGGACAATATCTCGACCACTATACGTGTGTGTTTTTTTTTTTTTTATTAGAAATTAGTTACATGGATGAAACTGGATTTGAATTTTATTCTGCTGTCCAATGATAGGATATTAAAAGAGGAGAAAAAAAAAATTAACTCACTCAAAAAACTTTTTCTTCAGATCATTAATCGGTCGTTGCATTTTTGATGTAGCGAAAACTCTTGCCGTTTGCGAAGAATGTCGAAATTATATATCGCTTTTTGGAAATTTTTTTAAATGTTTTACGCCAAAAAAATGATTACCAATTCGTCGCAGTTTGGCTTTGTGCACGGAATGATATGGTTTCCTTCATATCTTTCATAAAATTTGGCCAAGAGTGCAATTGAATGAATATTTCTTTCTCTATTGCCACTGTGATTCATTGGTCATCGATAGCTGCTACTGCATCTGAGTGATAGTGATGAGGGAAATGCTGTAACATCTAATATATATAAGTGTCACCCTAAGCCTAACCCTAAGTTTAAATGTATTGTTCTAATCATTTTCTATTGAGTTTCATTTCATTAAATGGATATCTGATATTTATTTTGCATGTTAAGGCTTAGACTAAATTACTGATATTGGCATCTTTACTTGTCATGAATGGGCGACAGTTTTTTGCATATTGAACTTAAGTCAGTAAATTAATGATCAACAATTATAAAAAGTAGGCTAAAAATTTATCTTGACTTTTTTTTTAATAATATGACTTCTTTATTTAAAATCACTTCGTAATGCCAATTTTTGTTATAAATTATTAGGTGAATACTTTCCTCTCATTTATAATGCTTTTGTCATATTAGCTTTTTGCATGACATATCGTTTATTTCAGTTTTGAGCATGTTTTACTAGATTTTAATGCTTGCTTTCGAATTTTACGTTTTGCAATCAGTTGGTACGTTTACGCCATTTATATGAAATTATAGGATAAAAAGATAAGACAGTAAAAATTCAATGATAAAATGAAATTATTAATCGCCCGATTGCTACACGCCTTTTCTTATGTCTGTGAAGAATGCCCAAATTGTGTTTCGCTTTCTAGAATAAAAAATTTTTGTTGTTATATAGTGCCAAAAGAAATGATTAGCATCAGTTTGGTTTTCCGGATAAAATGATATGCTTTTCTGCATATCTTCCACGAATTAGAAAACAAAGCAGTTCGCCAAAGAGTGAAGAGGTATCCGTTTCCCTGCTGATATTTTCAATATTTGTTGGAACTACCAGCATCTTTTTAAGCAGATGCTTCTCAGGTTATGGGCAACTACTACGTATTGAGTGCGAGATGTGAAAAATATACAGCATCTAATGAGTGTGTCCAATGAATTTTGTATCTAACTCAAACGGTCACAAATGCTTCACAATACACTTCACGTACATTCTATTTCAGGCTGACATAAGTTTTGCTAACTTCGAGGAGTTTCGGAATACAATTTCTTGTGAGATTTCAATGCATTCATACGGTAAAAGAATTTGCCAAGCATTCACACCGAGGACGAGGCTCATGCGTTTTCTTGTGACTGGAAAGTGATGATTTATAGTCGAATGTTCGTCCACAACCGGCTACTTTGCATTCATAGATGAAGGGCTGACCGTGTGTTTTCCTATGTGTTACATATTCGTTGTAACTTTTTGCGATCACAGCACACCCGGGGTAAAGGCATTCGTAGCTTTTTCGTTCGCCTAAAAAATTACTGTGTTATTTGTTTTTGCAATTTGTATTTTATTATAGTGTTTGGCAACTAATTAAGTAATCTGATACAACTAATTAAGTGAACTACTAAAAAATTACTTCCGTGAAATAATCCTAGCACATTCCATTTCAAATAATTTAGAATCACAAGAAGTTGCTTAGCTGCAACAAAAAGTGTAATTGAGAATTTCTCCTTGTATTGTCACTGACTGGAACAAATAACACATTTCACATGCATTCTTTTTTCAGTCTGACATATTTGTTTTATCTGTTTAAAATTCTGCTAAATTTGCAAACTAACAAGACTTTGTTTGGCAACGCCTTTTGTGATTTTGTAGTCCACTCTTGCAGGTGAAGAATTTGTTACAGTACTCGCACTGAGGATGAGGTTTATGCGTTTGCTTGTGATTGCAAAATGATGCTTTGTGGTCAAATGTCCGCCCACAACCGGGCACTCTACATTCATAGGTGAAGGGTTGATGCGTTTTCCTATGTGTTACATATTCGTTGTAATTTTTCGTGACCATAGTGCATCCGGGATAGAGACATTCATAATTTTCCTCACCTAAAAAATGGAATTTGTTTTTGCAACTAACATTCTATTGTATGATTCGGTAGTTAATTAAGTAGTGTAAGGAATCATGAAAATATCAATAATACCATAAATATATAAAAAACTTTATCATATCACACTTCAAACTACTTAGATCATAATCTGTTTACTTATCTTCTCATATTTTTGAAGCAGAAATTATATTTTTCATGTTACTACTAATTGGAAGGATCTCGCACAACAGATAATTGTTAATTTCCTGTTGTCGCGAAACCAGTTTCGGTTTTCGATTCTTCATTGTTTATATTCTCAACTTCATGTAATCGAATAATAAAAGCCTTTTAAATATTAAAAAAAAAAAATTGTGGTGACTGCATGATGTGAAAGATAAATAGCGCAGTACGTATTGAATTTTATATTATCAGTATTGATTGAATTTGTATTAACAGTCACGAATTTTCGTAAATCATCAAAATATCACTACCATGAAATTATCTCATTCCAAATAGTTTATGTCACAAGAAGCTGTTTAATTATTTAATTATTAATTATCCTCGCGTATAGTTGTGCTAAATTTGCAAACTAACGAGAATTTGTTTGGCAGCACTTCTTATGCCTACGGAGAATATTCACGCTAGCGAAGAATTTGCCACAGCACTCGCACTGAGGATTAGATTCATGCGTTTGCTTGTGACTACGAAATGATGATTTATAGTCGAATGTTCGTCCACAACCGGCTACTTTGCATTCATAGATGAAGGGCTGACCGTGTGTTTTCCTATGTGTTACATATTCTTTGTAACTTTTTGCGATCACAGCACATCCGGGATAAAGGCATTCGTAGCTTCGTTCGTCTGAAAAACTCTTATAATACTTTTTTTTTGCAATTGATATTTTATTATCGTGTTTGGCAGCTAATTAAGTAATCTGGTAAACCATAATAGTATCACTGAAATACTCTTACCACATTCCATTTCAAATAATTCCGATCACAAAAAGCTGTTTAATTATTTTTGCGTATAGTTGCAACAAAAAGTTTAATTGCGAATTTTCCGTTGTCACTCAGCGCCCACAAATATTTCATAGCACACATTTCACACGCATTCCGCATTCCATTTCAGGTTGATATATGTTTTTGATTCTGTTAAATTTACAAACTAACGAGATTTTGTTTGGCAGAGCCTCTTGTGTTTTCGTAGTGCATTCCTGTTGACGAGAAATGTGCCACAATCCTCGCACTGAGGACGGGGTTCATGCGTCTGTATGTGATTATAAAATGATGATTCATAGTCAACTATTCGCCCACAACCGGGCACTTTGCATTCATAGATGAAGGGTTGACCGTGTGTTTTTCTATGTGTTATATATTCTTTGTAATTTTCCGTGATCATAGTACACCCACGATAATGACAAGTATAATTTCTCTTATCTGAAAAATTCTTGTCAAAGCATTTATTTTTGCAATTAGTAATCTATTACACCGTTTGGTAGTTGAAATAATGTGAGAAATCACAAAAATATCATTGCCATAAAAAAAATATCACATTGCATTTTGAATAACTTAGGTAAAAGTTTATTTATCTTCTCACATATATAAAGCAATAACCATACTTTTAGTCGCTTTATCAATTTCATGCTGCTGATAGAAGTAAAAACTATAAAAGATAGAACGAAAAATCGTTATACAATTTGTCATTACTTGTTTCTGATCCTTCATTGGTATTTCCCCTGTACTTGGGGACATTCAAGTTATCCGAGAAGTGCTTATTGTCCATGTTGCTCTGTTCAGCATTTCCGTGTTGACCGGATGTGCCGTCTGAGGGAAGAGTAAGTTGGTGAAAATAGATCGGAACCGCATTTTGTTGTGAACCAGGTAAGTACATACATGTAATAATGTCATCGGTGTTGACATTAAGTGGCGAAGAAGTCCCACTTTGAGCATCTAAATAACTTAGATCACAAAAGCTGTTTACTTTTCTTTTCACATATTTGAAGCAAAGCAAAAGTCTCACCTCTATATCGCAGTATATCATCATTCGTTTCTAATTCTCCATTAGCATCTCTCCACACATTCCTATTTGAATCCGTATATGAACCAAGTGATGAGTCCAAATTAGTATGGCTCAACAAATCATAGCTATCTAAAAAGCCAGGATGAGGAGCATTTGTGATCTGGGGTTTCGATTCTTCACTGCTTATATCCTCAATTTCATTCAACTGATCGAAATCAATCAACTGCGAAGGATCGGATGGAAATTCTGAGCCAAACAATGGCTCAAAATTGTTGTAATCGAGGATATCAAAGCTATCTGAGGTGCCAGAATGAGCAGTATATGTGACAATTTCATCACTTGTATCGAGGTTAATTATAGGGAAAGTTTTATTTTTCTCAGAGATGATGCAAAGCAGAAGATTGAGCCAAATAATAGGTGTCATATGCATAGTGAAGAACATGGTGAAACACGAAATTTCGTAAAATGACAGAAATACTCAAATGGAAGCTCTTTATTTCAGATTGGTTAAAATTAAAGACCAAAGGTTCAGACAGTTTTTAATCTGTCCATTATTTGTCATATTTTTACATTCTCGCTTTCCTCTCTCCCAACTAGTAGTTTATGAATGCTCTTTTGAAGCCGAAAGAAGCGGTTACAATAGCTTGTACGTAAATCCGGTGCTTTGAATACTGATAGATACTGGTCTTTTATTTCAATAATATGTATAAAACCAAGTGGCATTGTCAGAAATGAAATTGCGAGCATTTTCGTTTTTCAAGCATTTAATTTTGTGCATTTAATAAATTCGCGTTGTATGCCTACGATAGTATCACTGATAGGACTTTCTCGGATGGACGCATCACCTGAAATTTGATAGTTGTTGCTTTTTGACATAGTATGCAGGAAGAAATTTCAACATAAGCTGAAACGATGTTTGATGCTTGAAAGGATGGGACAAATTTTAAAAATTAACATTTGCATAAATGCATAGATGCAATTAATTGATTACGTATATTCAGCGTAGAAAGCAGGCTTGCATGAAGCGGTAATACTACCACACTTTTTTCACTATTGTTACATTTTACAAATATTTGATTTAGTCTTTTAAACTTTATTTCAAGCAAGAAATTAGGAAGTTATGACTGGAAGGGTAGACAGGCTTTGTTAAGTGGGAAAGAGAAGAAATGGGAGGAACGCGATGAATGAACTATTCCCTACTCCCATACTTATGGACCTCTATTGTAGGAAGAAGGATCCCAAGACTGCTACTATTCCAATTGCCATTGTCTTCGTGTGAAAATCTAACAAGGTCTGCTCCATCTCACTTCAGTCTGTCGTCGTGTCCCCACAAGAGGCAAGTAGACGGGAGATGCTGAGAAAGCGTATGTTTTGTGATTATTGCAATTAAGATTAGATCACAGAACTGAATCTGTCTGTTTACAGAAAAATACCTATTACATTAATTGGTAAATGAGTCCCAATGGAGCAATAGATTAGTAGCTGCTTTTAATTATGTTCCAGGGAAATCCAAGGATTCTAGTGAATTATTTCTCTTAATCTCGGAATTTTTGAATTTTTGAAATTTCATTAAAGAATTTCCGTAAAGAACTCCAATTAGCATATATTTGAAGTTAATTACAAATTTCACTAAACATATTAATTTACCAAATTCTGCACTATAATTTCGCTGTCATACTGAACACTAGGATGGTAAGGCGATAAACACATGATCCATTCACAGCGCAAACATTAACATCGAAATTCGTATTTATTAAGAAAAGCACTGATTTCAAGTCAACCATTCTCACTGTTTTATGAGTAATATTTCGTCATTCTCATCCACCTCTACCTGTATTTACAGGTTACATACGTATTGAATGCAAGATATGAAAATATATATATATATATATACAGCTTAACGAGTGTATCTAATGGATTTTCTATAGTCACTCAGCGGTCACAAATGCTTCATAACACACACATCTCAGGCTGACATATGTATTTAAAATTCTGCAAAATTTCTAACTAACGAAATTGTGTTTGACAGCATTTCTCGTGTTTTTGTAGTCTACTCCTGTTGGCGAAGAACTTGCAACAGTGCTCGAACTGAAGCTGAGGTTCTCGCGCTTGCTCCTCATTGCAAAATGATGTTCACCCGCCCACAACCGGACATTCTGCATTCATAAACGAAAGGTTGATTTGTTACATATTCGTTGTAATTCTTCGTATCATAGGACATCTGAGACAAAGACATTCATAATTTTTCTCATCTGAAAATTCCTGCATGACATTTGTTTTTGCAATAAGCATTCTATTACATTATTTGGTAGTTAATTAAGTAATTTAAAAATGATCACAAAATATTGGTGCCACAAAATAATCAAATCACATTGCATTTTAAATAACTTAGATAACAAGTAGCTGTTTACTTATCTGAAGCAAAAGTCACACTTCTAAATGTTGCCTTGGAAGATCTAACACAATAGATATTGTGAACTTTCAGCTATGAATGAGATCAGTTTCGGTTTTCGATTCTTTATTTCATGTAGCTGAAAGAAAATAAACAATAAAGGACAGAATGAAAAATCATTATGTGATTCATTATCACCTGTTTCTGATTCTTTATCAGTATTTCCCTTGTCGTCAAGGATGATCAAGCTATCCGAAAAGTGCTTGTCAATTTTGCTCTTTACCAGAGACACCTTGGCCTGGAATTGTCGTCTGAGAGCAGTTGATGAAAACAGATCGGAACGGCATTGGTTGTGAACCAGATAAGTAACCAGGTAAGTGCCTATACGCGACAATGTTATTATTGTCGAGATTAGTTAACGAGAATTCATTTTTAGCAAAAACGATGTAAAGCAGAAGATTGAAACCAAGTGATGGACTTTACAGATAAAGTGAAGAAGATGGTGAAACACAATTTTGTGAAATGACAGAAGTACTTATATGAATGTTTTTTTTTTTTTTTTTTTTTCAGATTCGTTGGAATTAAAGACCAAATGTCAAACAGATTTTGATCTATTCAATTCACATTACTTTTCACATTTTTTGCCTTACATTATCAATTTTTTCTCTCCTAGTTGATTGCTTACGAATGCCTTTTTGAACCTTTAAGAAAGCATAACAATGTTTTTTATTGTTATTTATCCATAATTATTATTCTCATGTTTTTTTTTGTTTTTTTATATATTTTGGTAAGATTAAATTTACTTTTCCGTAATTCTTTTTAAATTTAATTTAAAGCGTAGAAATGGTCGTATAATTGAGTAAACTTTGCAGGTTTTAGTTGTTAATTTTTCAGTGAGCGCATTCTGTAAATCTAAATGCAAACTTCCGAATTTTAGGTTTACCATCAATTGGTACGTTTATGCTGAAATTATGAGATAACAAAGAAAATAAGATAAAACAGTAAAAATGCAATGATAAAATGAGATTATAAATGGTCCTGCATTCTGATGTCCTATCTACACGCCTTTCTTATGTCTGTGAAGAATGCCCAATTGTGTTTCGCTTCTAGAATAAAAATTTTTAGTTGTTTTACAGCACCAAAAGATGTGATTAGCATCAGTTTGGCTTTCTGGATGGAATGATGGCTTTTCTGCATACCCTTTATGAATTACAAAACAATATAATTGACTAAGAGTGAACGGG